ACCACTGTCAAACGGTAAAAGAGAACATGGTAAAGAAACCTGGGCTTATAATTTAACATTATAAGTTTGAAATCGCCAACCCGCATTAAGTAAGGGTGGCGATTAATGCTCAAACTTTCTCTGTACGACAAGATGCGTTTGGTAGTCCGGTGTTTTCATGGTTGTCTCTATTGTAGATCCTGGCTTACAGGAGGGCTTCTCCCATTAAAAAAGGACAAAACCTCCTTTTTTAGCGTAAGCGTTAGCACAAGCCAATTATAGCCTGTGATGGTGTGATCTGATCGCAATTGAAAACGTTTATCAGAGAGCACTGCTCTGCCAAACGTGGAGTCCCTTAAGTACAGGACACCCATGGGAAGAATAGGTATGGTGACAATATGTTCTATTCTGCATAACATAACATAACATCATGCCTTTTATCCCCGAAGGGGTAGGCAAAGGTTCACATTACGGCATTTAATGCCACTATACAATGTAACATCCACTTTTCACTTTTTATGAGTCTCATGTAATAGGGATAATAATTCTGTCTCATCCCATGTCATAATTCCAGACTCAGTGCTACTTCTGAGACTTTATTTTATAATGCTTTTCCCGACTCGGGAACCCGAGACCATTTGGCCCGGCAGCCGCACTTTCGACCACTCGGCCAACAAGGTAGTCTTCTATTCTGTCTTCATTAGTAAATAGCAGAAGGGTCTATAAATCAATACATAGTATAAAACAAAGTCGCTTTCGCTGTATGTCCGTATGTATGCTTAGATCTTTAAAACTACGCAACGGATTTTGATGCAGTTTTTTTTAATAGATAGAGTGATTCTTAAGGATGGTTTGAATGTATAATACATGCATATTGCACCCGTGCGAAGCCGGGGCGGGTCGCTAGTGTAGAATAAAAGAAACCTTCATTTCATTAGTTGTCATATACTAGCCTATTTTAAAATTCCATGCTATTCCGGAGCTCGGGACGATCCGGGTTACCGCGGCTTCGGCTCTATGCAGGAGTAGCAACGGGGTGGTGTTTAATCAGTAAGAGTCTGACACTCTAGCCTCACCCTGGCGGGAAAATATTGTATAATATTTTCTACAAAAAAATGCAATTGACAACAAAATAATAAAAAAGACTATAATGCTTTGCTCGACTCAGGAATCAAACGTCTAACCTTTTGCTTCGCAGTCTCACTTACGCCCACTGAACTGACAAAGCCTTAATAATAAGAGATTATTTACTGCCTAATATTGTTAGTCATATTACGAAGTACGGGTTGGAATTTTGACCTTTGCTTACGACAGCATGTCACTGTCAAAATATTAGATTTATTAACATTGTACAGTTTTAGCTCATTGACTGTACAGGACAAATATTTAAACGCCGCTTATTGAATAACTAAAAACATTCAAGTTTATTTTTACAATAGGTTATTATTAACCGACTTCAAAAAAGAAGGAGGTCTCAGTTCGCCTGTATGTATGCATGTATGTTTGTGTGTGTGCAATTATCTCGCGATTGTCGGAACCTCACGGAAAAGCGACGTGAAGCAACGCTTGCGTTGTGTTTCGTCGTGTGAGTGAGGTTACCAGAGGCCCAATTACCCTCCCTTTCCCCAGTCTCCCCAATCCCTGAATCCCCAACGATCCTCAAACTCCTAATCCCCAAAAGGCCGGTAACGCACTTGTAACGCCTCTGGTGTTCCAGGTGTCCATGGGCGACGCCGATTGCTTACCATCAGGTGATCCGTCTGCTCGTTTACCGGCTTATGCCATAAAAAAAACCTATTGTGATGCGTTTTTCAGATACGTGATTGATACACTTAGGTGAAGGTTTCAAAATATAAATTAACTGACTTCAAAAAATAGGGGGTTGAATTTGGTTTTCTTAAACGTAGTAGAATTACGTTTTTTGAAGTCGTTTACTTAAAAACATTTTACCGAATAAATCTTTATGGATTGGATAAGCCAATTTATCTTAACAATGTCTGTTCACAATATATTTTGACAGATCACCTACACGACTGCTTATGTGATAATTTTATCTAAGAGATAAGAAAACATATCATGATATTATTATACTAACAAAATACCTAAACTAACTGACAATAAGATTACATTTTTACATAGCAAAAAGATTTTTTTTATCTTCAGTCGGTACTCCCGCGCTTGCACTCGTTCTGCCCGGTTCCTGTTAGTCGTAGCGTGATGTTTTATATGGCCTATAGCCTTCCTCGATAAATGGGCTATCCAGTAAAAAAATAATTATTCAAATCGGACTAGTAGTTCCGAGGATTAGGGCGTTCAAACAAACATAGAAACAAATTCTATATTGACACATTCAATGCCATGTGGTTCACCGGTGGCCGACGACGTTGGCAGACGAATTCACTTCGACAGTCTTCTATTGGGAGTCACCAACCTTAAGTAATGTAAATATACATAGATTATTATCTTATAAGTGGCCACTGCTGAGCAAAGGCCTCTTCTCACACGGAGAAGGTTTAAGCATTAACCACCACGCTTGCTCAATGCGGGTCGGCGATATCAAACTTTTTATATAACTATCGTGAGACATAGTAAATTAACTAAAAATCGCGGGTTACTCACGTGAATATACTGAGTAGGCTGCGCGACATAGCCGCGACCGCGCACGCTGCTCATGACAAAGAACCCCTCTGTGGTTCGAAACTAGTAGAACTTTTCTCAGTATATTCACGTTAGTAACCCGCGATATTTAGTTGATTTCTAACTTATAAATAGAAATTATAAGCCCAGGTTTCCTCGCGATTACGGAGCCGCGGAAGACTTAACGGGTTGCCGGGGCTCCGGCTCGAAGTGCCGGAGTAGGAACGTGGTGGTTTTTAATCAGTAAGAGTCTGACACTCCCTCTCGCCTCACCCGGGCGGGAGAAGCCATTCGATGATTTTCCCCCCTCAAAAAAAAAAGTTTCCTCACGATGTTTTCCTTCACCGTACGTCAATGATATCCTAATAAATTATGAAGGTACATTCGTACTATATTATTTAGTATACAGGTATGAAAATTAAGATCGATTCAGTATAGAGACAGTAGCTATTGTAATACTAAATTGTATGCTTTAATGAAGCCTTATCTGAGACAACCAATGCTTACTGTCTTTTTACTAAACCCATCTTAATTTTCTAACTGACTTTTTTATGGAATAGGAGGCAAACGAGGACACCCGCAACACCAGAGGAGTCATAGGTGCGTTGCCGGCGTTTTAAAAAGGAGTACGCTTTTTCCTTGACCGTTTGAAGGTTAGAGGCCTTAGTACGAGTTTGATTTACGTTTAAAGTATTCGACACAAGTACGGGTTTGGCACTGTGATTGGCCGGCACCAATAAACCAACCATCTGAGCCAGATTATCCCTAAGGCAAACGAGGCAAGTACCGGGCGCCAGGTCAAAGAGGGGAGTCGCGAGACGCGCGTGCACAACCGTACATAGAGTGACGGTGGCGACGAAAGAAATTAGAGAAGCCTATGAGGTACTTTCCTAGGGCGCTATCTAGATTCAAATATTAATATAGCCTCGTTAAACTCGCATATAAAATACAACCCATTTTTTTAAACATCTATAACAATGACCGTCAGACCCAATTACGGCCCCTCAAATATCCCCAATCCCCAATAATCCTCAAAATCCCAATCACCAAAAGGCCGGTAACGCACTTGTAACACCTCTGATATTGCGCGTGTCCATGTCATTTTTAGTTAAAAAACACTTATAACAAAGACCGTCATTTAAAGTTAAAAATACGACTGAACGGCTCTGCCCATCCCCCTAACGGTGGGTAAACAAGCATGCGGTCTGGACACACGACTATCGTGTGAATAATTGATAGCATATTGATCGAATAAGCATTGCTACCAAACATTTTATATGAAGTTGTATGTATGAGGAATACACGTTTTGGTATTCTGAGCTACTCGGCAATTTAATAAACTAGTGGTTAAGAAAATTGGTTTCCATGCGATACTAGTTTCTGCTTGCGGTTTCGTCCACTTTCCCGTGGAATAAAAAAACCTATGTGTTATTCTAGACTGTGATTACAGTCTATAGGGATAGATTTATCCCTATGCCAAATTGAAGTGTATTAACACAATATGACTTTAGGACGCCCGCTTGTCATGCATGAGGGTGCGGGTTCGAAACCTACCAACAAATGCCAATGTGACTTTTTCAGAGTTAAATGTACTTTCTAAGATTTTCTGTACACCACTCACAAACGGTGAAGGAAAAACATCGTGAGGAAACCTGAGCTTTTAATTTTTAATAATAAGTTTGTAATCGCCAACCCGCATTGAGCAAACGAGGTGATTAATGCTCCACTGCTGAGCAAACCTTCTCCGTGTGAGAAGAGGCTTTGCTCAGCAGTGGACATTTATAGGCTGTTGATGATGATGATGAGCACAATATGACGTCAATTTTACCCCAGTGATGTTTATAGTCTCATGTAATATGCCGTTGTTATTATAAGTGATGAAAACCATTATCATTGTTTTTATAGAATTAAAATATAAACTTCTAAAAACTACAATAATACATCAACCGAATATTCCAAAGAACAGCTGTGGAATAATCTGTCGTCGGCGGTATTTCCGAACCGATACGACTTTCAAACCTTCAAGAAAAAAAATATTTTAAGAACTACTTTTCAAAACCGACTCCTTTTTCTTTTCTGAATTCTTCATGAAAATCGGGTAAGCCAATTGCGTGATAATCGCGTACAAAGAAAGAAGGAAAAAAGAAAAAAAATGTTATTGCTATTAGTATGATGCTCCAAATACACAAACATAAAATTACTATAAAAACAACAGGAAAAACCGCAATAACAACAAAAAAAATAACAAGAAAAAGAACAGGTCGAACTGAGAACCTTAGTTTTTTAAGATAATTAAAATAAAAACAAAATTAACTGTTACACAACACTACCCTACCACTTCGAAAGAAACAAATATTCAACCACTCTATTTAATTTAATTCCAGATTACAATGGACGATGCTCGTTTCGAAGAAGCGCCAATCAAAAAGGTAACAACCCGTTACGACTACCGCGCGCCCCGAAGGTTGGACCAATTGGACGAGATTGGACAAAACTTGGAACTGCTGGGGAAAAAGGTTGGCCAAAGGTTTGAAAATAAAGTTGGGCCAAGTAACTTGGATACTATAAGTTTTGAGAGCGAAAAACTGAAAACTAGCCATAGCGAGAGTTCTTCAAGACGGAACAGCGATGATGGGGGACGAGCTGAAGGACTTAGAACTGGTAAGAGTTCCAAGTAATCTACCTCTATCTCCCTCTATATTTATACTTAAACTTACCTTAATACATATAGGTGAAGCTGATGAGTTTGTTTAAATGCGCTAAGCTGGTTTTTTTAAACGCTGTTTTTGTGTTTAACAACTCACGGGAATAGTAACTTAAGGCTACGTTTTAAAAAAAAGACTCCGTCCTATGTCCGGGAACCGAACCCGAGACCCCTTGCCCGGCAGTCGCACTTGCGACCACTCGGCCGACGAGGCAGTCTGAAATTGCGCCTGGTATATGGCAATAAGCTCATCCCCCCCTGTTACATGGGACTCGTAACATTAATTGTTCAAAGTGGGTGTTATATTTTACAGTGGCATTATGTGCTGTAATGCGCACCTTTGTCGACCCCTTCGGGGATAAAAGGCGTTACGTTATGTTATGTTTTAAAAAAATGAACTACGTCCATTATAAAATGACTAATGATTTTATGTCTTTAAAATTCCAGACGGGACCAGCTCAGAGCCTCCGACAGCAAGCGTTACAAACTTCAACGCGTGGGGAGAACTCAACAGTTCCACCTCCACAACTCGCACCGAACTCAGTCTATCGGATGGAGGAGATGAACAGGTAAGGATTCTACACGTGATATTCCTAAAAGGCTGATGACGCACCTATAGTGTTCCGAGTGTCCATGGGCGGCACCGATTGCTTATCATCAGGTGATCTATCTGCTGGTTTATCGCTCTGTACCGGATAAAATACCGGATAAAAATCATCTATCAAGTCTCGAATACAGATGTAAGGTTGCAAGCCTTTCGGTTTTCTACCCTAGTCCTTTCCATCATCGTACCATAAGACAATCAGCGAAGCGTCGCCGATTTATGGTAAATGTGCCACCCACACGCACGAAGCTCTTCGCATCAGGTTTTCTTGTGCGTACTGCTAAGGAGTGGAATTCTTTGCCAGAGTCTGCATTTCCTGGATCACTTGCGTGTCTTCAAGGTCCTAGTGAATAGGTTGCTTATGGGACGACGTGCTCCATCGTAGACCGCGTCATCCTGCACCACCAGGCGAGATACTGGTCAAACGAGTTGGCCCATCAAACATATAAAAAAATATCTATTGCCAGGAACTGACCCTGATTTTATGTTGGAAAATGATCATCATCATCATCAACAGCCTATAAATGCCCACTGCTGTACAAAGGCCTCTTCTTACATGGAGATTTGAGCATTAATCACTACGCTTGCTCAATGCGGGTTGACAAATACTATAATGTTTATGTAATTTTAATGTTAGTCTGGTAAAATATTTTAAAACATTAGACACGTAGTTCTTCTTAAATTAAATTGTTATTTTTACTTGCAGACCACGAAAACCCGTCGCCGAAGTCATGAGTCTGCTCTGCCAGGAACTCCGATGCACCAGCGAGCTCCATGGAAATCAGTTGACAGTTTGGTTCCTGAGTCGGCGTTTGGAACTTCCCTGGCTGATATTATGGAAAGCCCTGCTAATAAGGTAAGGAGTTTTAATTAAATGAGTAGAGAAAATAGAATAATTAGGTGGGCCCGCCCGAGTGAATAGATTGCTTATTTATTTATTTATTTGTGTCAGGCATCTTGGCCCATAGTGAAATATACAATAATACAATACAAATAATTCAGGTTGCTAATACTATACACACATATACAGTCATAATATTTAATTTTACTGCTTATTTTACACGAAGTATCGGAGTCGTGTGTCGCTCGGTGTCTGGTATCCGGCCTCGAAATCGCCGGAACACTACACATTTCGGCCAAAATTCTTCCTTCTTTCGACGATATATTAATTCGAAATATCGTATGACGTCACAGCGTGCCACATTTCGTAGCACGTTATGACGTAACGACAACCCACTCCTAAACTTAGCGCCATTTTATCTAAGTATTGCAACTTAATACAAGAAAATAAAAAAATACGTGTCTAATATTTTTTCATTATTTAACTGACGGACTTAATTAGTCCGTCAGATTTTGAATTTTGATAACTTGGAAACCAAATTGGATAAATTTGGTTTTCTATTCTACAAGTAGACAAGCACTAAATGGCATTTGGCTACAACTGCAGGTTACAGAGGGGTACCTTGAGAGGCGCTTGCCCAATAGTAACAAAGGTGCCAATAAAATTATCGGCGCTCTCTATGCTTAGTCCGCCTCTATGTTGCAGTGTATTGTGGGTTCGATTCTTGTGAGAAATAATTCTTTGTATGATATAAAACGTAATATTTTAGGTCTACAATGTTTATTTGTTATTTTTAGCAGTAGTAGCCTGCTTGGCGACTGGGCTTCACCCAGTTGTACAGTCTCTTTTTTGTGCCTTTAGGCTTACTTAATTCATTCTGTCTCCTGCAGTAATTCACCGAGGGAAGTGGAAACTATCGTTTTTTTCTTCTCTTATAATATCTTCTGATTCACTTCGTTGCGGGAACCAAGACAGTTACTCATGTCTCTGTGACGCGCCGGACTTCAGTGTTCCGGTGTTTTCATGGTTGTATCTACTGTAGATCCTGGCTTACAGGAGTTGCAGCGGTTTTGGGAGGTTGTGTCGGGCTTGTCCCATAAAAAAGTAGCTTTAGCCTATAGTAATAATTCCCCTCACAATAATTTCTTATTTTCGAAAATTTTATTATTATAGTATTTAATTTATTTTTACAGAACATGCCGTTCGGTAGCTACGATGACAAAAAGGTATATTTTCCTGTATTCTACATAAACGCACTCATTAGACTATACTTGTATTTACATACATAGGTATTTAAATTAATAATTTCGTCAAGGGGTACAGTAGACTGTTTAGGGAACAGAGAGTATAGTTCCCTAAGATCGGAAAAGGAGGATCCTCCGACCAGGCGAGGTGATCATGCCTGGCGGACTTTCTGCCTATCAGTTGCTTCGTGGTCATCTCTCCGTCCCCGACTGGGGGCGTGAGGTCACGCGTTCCAGGCCGAGGCCTGTCTCGGCGGTGTCTAACGCTGCCTGCGACTGCAGGCGAGGGGTTGGGTTAGTCGGGCTCCTTACGGGGCCCGATGCGGTGTCAAGTCCGATGGTTTACCCCGCCATGAGCCGCGCTCTAGCCGGGCAGGCCCAGCGAGCAGCAAGCTGTTGGCGGGGGATGGTCATGTTCAGTGGGGGCGCCGCTAGGGGCCGCGCTCGAGCCGGGGGGGAGCCCGGCGAGTGGCGGCCTGGTAACGGCGCGCCCTATCAGTTGTTCGTTGGGATTTTCTATTCGTGTTAATTCGCTTGTAAACTTTGCATGTACGATGTTGGATTCTTGTGACGTCATCCGTTGATTTGTGGCATGTGTCGCCACAACTCGATCGAAACATTACCTGAATAACAAAACATAAAAAATATCGATTTCGAGTCTACAACATATATCCGCAAAATTTGGATTACGGAGATTATTTCGTTTTAATATTCATTTTAATGACACTGACAGACAAACCGCAGTCGCCATCTTGTGTAGACAATAAACGTTCCGTTTCATACTAGCTCTCAAATATGCTTCGACAATCAACACGTTGTCGCGTCAAAAAAGTATAAATTAACAAGAAATTAGAATAATTTCACGCGAACGAAATCGCGGGCGGCGCTAGTTATTTTATATATTTTTGAAATAATAAATGTGTTATTAACAAAGTCACATAGTATTATATATATGTATGTATGTATATACTTGAAAATATATCTTTTTCTCGTCATATTTATGCATGTTTACCGCTCTGCACATGAATAATAATATTATATTTAGGTAACTAGAAAAAATTAGCATACCTAACACAAGACACAAGGCAGAGGTGCACATTATGCCATTGTACATTGTAACATCCACTTTCCATTATTTATTTTATAAGTCGCATGTAAAAGGGGGTGAGACTATTGCCATATACCGGGCACGATTCCAGACTCCGTGCTACTACTGAGATTTTTGAAAAAGCCCAGTAATACTTTGCCCAACCCAGGAATCGAACCCGAAACCACTCGACCAACGAGGCAGAGTAGTATTCTGCCTTCAATAACTGACGAACTAATTAGATTTTTATCTTGATACCCTGGAAACAATTGAAACTACCCAATTATATTGATTCGCGCCGTCCACGCCCAGTTCTCGCAATGACGCCATGGAAAAGGGTCTTCCATTTTTAAAAACTTTATTTTATAGAAGACATGTGCGTATTTGAGCGTACACAGCGCGCGCGGAACGCTCGGCGCCGTACGCTCGGTTCTAGTTTTGGTCGGGCGGCGAGTCACCCATGCTGTATGTCCTCCGGCCCGCCGGAGATCGTTCCGCGATCCCCGACGCCCGGTGTCTCTCGCGACGACTGGGGCGTGAGGAGGTTCGTTCCCTCACGCGCCCCGCCTCCTCTTTAGCTAGCATGACTGCTTCACAAAAGGAGAGGACGGCATACCAGTCCCCCTCGCTCCGTACAATAGTCTGAGCTAAAGCCAGACGCGAGAGATCGAATATAACATCACGCTACGACCAATAGGCGCCAAGCATAACGCGCGGGAGTAGCTAGTTTTTTATAATATACTATCGTGAGACATACTGAATTAACTAAAATTAACTGTTTACTCATGGTCCTTATGAGCAGCGTGCGCGGCGTATCGCAGCCTACTGGACTGCTCATGAAGAAGACACCCTCTAGCATTCGAAACTAGTTAAGCTTTTCTCAGAATATATACTATATTATCGTGACATCCCCAATCTCAATCCCTTTTAATTTTTAATTATTCCATAAAAAAAAATTACAAAGTTACTGGTGAATTGAAGGTTGCTTTGAACACATACACCTCTGCTTATTCATTTAATTATTGTAATGTGTACTGTTTGGCTTGATAAGTACATACGTAATTCTTTCATAACTGGGTAAATATAATAACAATTCCTTAAGTGACCCCAAAACGATTGGAATTTGGCATCGCGTGACGCGAAATGAGAGCATTCTTAAGCTTAGTGTACAATATAGGGAACTGAAAACTGACTATACGATATTTAACTCGTCGAGTACCGTCATTATAGACACAATTATAGAACAATAGGTTGCGGTCACCGGTGACCGCTTGGTGTTTGACAGTTTAAACCCACTTTTAAGAAGTAATAATATTTTTTAATGTTCAACGGTTTTCATAAACCGTATTCCAACAATCATCCTATCGTTTGATATCAATAATGGCGGTAGCTATGAAAAAAATCACACTATCAGACTAATATAGAAAATAAGAAGCTACACTGCTGAGCATGACCTCTTCTCACACGGAGAAGGTTTGAGCATTGATTACCACGCTTGCTCAATGCGGGTTGGCGATTTCAAACGTATAATTAGTAATTATAAGCCCAGGTTTCCTCACGATGTTTTCCTTCACCGTTTGTCAGTGGCGTCTAAATAATCTTAGAAAGTACATATAACTCGGAAAAGTCACATTGGAACTTGCCGTTGGTAGGTTCCAAACCAGCACTCATATGCATGAGAAACGGGTGGTGTATACCAACCCTAAAAATGACATGAATCGTTATAGCAAAACATTACCATTCCTTACGATTCAGCTGAATGGTTAAATTTAATTCTTATACTAGTTAGCTACGCGATTTTAACCGGACCACTAGTAATTTTGAACCGTAAAATTAAAAATAGACTTAGCTTAAATGTGCACTAACTATAATAATATGAATTCGATTAAACATATAAAATTGAATCGGGTGAATGAAATTAAAGTTGGGGCTGTTAGAACTGGACCGTTTTGGGTGGTAAGGTATTTTAAATGTACTTTCATCTCGCAATAAGGAATATTTTCGAATTTCGATGTATAAAGTACAAAAAAAAAATTGTGACATTTTTTTAGTTTAAAACATTTTTTTCTTTGAATTCCGCACATGCACCACTTGACGTTAATTTGTTAGACGTAAAAAAATTGGCACTATTCGCATCGCACGTGCCACCCGACGAGAAATATCTCTTCGACAATTACATGGCGTGATGTTTTGATAATGTACTATGAATTCCAATGCGCTTTCGAAGTGATCTTTCTGCAATGTTTCACCAGTTATTTTTTGTTATAAACATTTTATTTCTTTGTAAAACTATTGTATTACCGAGACAGAACCATTTTACTTCGGGACGAAACGAAATAGATTTCACTGTGTATAAATCATTATGATCATCATCCATCATCATTAAGGGGGGGAAATCATCGAATGACTAAGAGTCTGACACTCCCTCCCGCCTCACCCAGGCGGGAGAAGTCATTCGATGAATTTCCCCCATTAAAAAAACCCTCTAGTGTTACGGGTGTCCATGAGTGGCTCCGATTGCTTACCATCAGGTGATCCGTCTGCCTTTCCCCCCTTAAAAAAAAGGGTCAAATTTAGTCATTGGAATTTTATCCCCTTCCTGACGACAGATCGACTAATATTAACACACTCTTAATCTTGATGGCCATACAATATTATCTATTTTTTTCCACAACTACCTCCATTATGGATATCAAACGAAAGGGCTTGATTTTTTTTTAAACGTTGCGTTGGGTACGTTTACAAACATACAAGTTCACATACACAATGACATCCAGACCCGAAACAACAATTTGTGGATCACACAAAGTGTTGTTCCGTGCGGGAATCGAACCCGCGACACGTTGCACGGCAGCCAGTTGCCCAGCCACCGCACCAACCGTGCTGTCATTGATTGATTGATTTGACAGATTGAAGATTGTTAGAATAGAGCTCATTAAAACCATTTTATATTTCTTTTCTATATACTTACATATATGACTTTTTCCAATGTGGGGGGGAATTCATGAATCGGACAAACACGAGTACTTAAACTTTTTTTAAAAGAGTAACGATGGGGTTTCTTCCTCGTTCTTCTCCATTCAAAAATACACTTTGGAACGAGTGCCTTGCTTCACTGACAGACTGACTGAAGAGGAATAAAAATTTTAACGCTTCTAAAGTGCCTAGTTAAGGATTAATTGAAATAAATGTGTAGGAGAGCCATGCTTTTGCACGAATGGACTGGCTCGACCGGAGTGATACCACGGCCGAGCAGAAAACCGACGTGAAGCAGCGCTTGCGTTGTGTTTCGTCGTGTGAGTGAGGTTACCGGAGGCCCGATTACCCTCCCCTTCCCCAATCTCCCCATTCCTGAATCCCCATTAATCCCCAATTCCTGAATCCCCATTAATCCCCAATCTCCCCAATTCCTGAATCCCCAAAAGGCCGATAACGCACTTGTAACGCCTCTGGTGTTCCAGGTGTCCATGGGCGACGCCGATTGCTTACCATCAGGTGATCCGTCAGCACGTTTACCGGTTTATGCCATAAAAAAATAAATAAATAAATGCTTTGACTTTGACTTTAACATGTTTCAAAATTTTTGTGGTAGCACCTTTGTCGGATAGATACACCAATATTTAACCATATAATCCTTGTATAAGCAGTTTCAATTATTGAAATCCAACCCTATAACCATTTGTTCGACAATAGCTTATTACTTATCAACACTGGACTGAGGTAAACGTTACAATGTTGACATTAATTACTTTTACAGGGTTCGGTTAACACGAAAAACTAAATTTAAAAATGTAGGTCACAAGTAATAATGAGGTTACAATAGTCATTAAATTTTTAATTGTGTAAATATATTTAGGTTTTTGGAGTAGGTAAGACTGTCTCGTTCGCGAAACTATTACTGATATACGTCGCGGAGAACCTAACGGGTTACGGGGCTCCGGCACGACGTGCAGGAGAAGGAACGGGGTGGTTTTTAGTCAGTAAGAGTCTCGACACTTCCTCTCGCCTCAACCAAGGCGGGAGAGTCATTCGATGATTTTCCCCCCTTTAAAAAAAATAATTATATATAGATCTAACTAATACTATAAATGCAAAAGTTTATGAGTTTGTGTGTTTGTGTGTTTGTCTGTGTGTTTGTTACTCAATTACGTCAAAACGGCTGAAGGAATCGTGATGAAATTTGGAACAGGGGTAGATTATGTTTTGGAATAACACATAGGCTACTTTTTATTCCACGAGAACGCGGGCGAAGCCGCGTTCAGAAGCTAGTTTAGTATAATAAGAGCTTTTCTTTATCTTTATCTTATGACTGCCTTGTTGGCTGAGTGGTCGCAAGTGCGACGGCCGGGCAAGAGGTCTCGGGTTCGATTCCCAGGTCGTGCAAAAAATCTCAGTTACCACTGAGATTTAAAAAAATCCAGTGATTCTACCGCACGGAGTCTGGAAATGTGCACAGTATATGGCAAATGGCAATAGACTCACCCCCTATTACATGGGGCTCATAACATAAATAGTGAAAAGTGAGTGTTACATTGTACAGTGGCACAATGTCCACCTCTGCCTACCCATTCGGGGATAAAAGTGATATTATGTCATGTTATGTTCTTTATCTTTCTTTATTTTTAAAAGCTAATGCTCTTAACCGACTTCGCAAAAAAGAGGACGTTCTCAATTCGGCCGGTATCTTTTTTTTTTCTTAACTTTTTTATTCTAGTGGGTGTTGTTGGTAGATACTGAGTACAATGAATATAACACAAAGAATTGCTTCGTGCCTCACGCTGTGCCATAGTGGGCCTTTAGCCAAACGCCACTTTAGCGCTTGTCTACAGAGAGAGTAGAAAACTAAATGTATGGGGATGACACTGACAAGTGTCAAAATTTACGTCAATTCCATATAATTTGGTTTTCTATTCTACATGTAGACAAGCGCTAAATGGCATTTGGCTACAGCTTCTGGTTCTGTAACCAGAAGCCAGAAGTTGGCACGGTGGCTCTGTAGCCACCGTGCCAACGTGCAGAGGCCTTAGTACGAGTTTGACTTACGTTGAAAGTTTTCGAAACATCTCGTTTCATTGGCGCCCTGATTGGCCGGCACCAATGAAGCAACCAATCACAGCGCCGAACGCGTACTCGTCACGAATACTTTAAACGTAAACGAAACTCGTACTAAGCCCTCAGCCTATTTTATAGGCATAGGCACCAACACGACTAGTTAACTCCGCCATTATACGTAATTTCCCTCCTCATCCTTCAGGTCCACCTTCGAGATGACATCAAGTCCATTCGTTCAGACAGTTCAGAAGAGAAGAAGTCGAAAGGTTGGAGGTTTGTGAGAAATGTGACCTCAGCTGCCGGCGCCTTTACTGCAAAGCCCAAGGATGCTTCCACGACGTTGCCAGGAACTCCTCAACCAAGTTTCCAGGTATGAGGAGATGGAAACCTTTGGGTAATTAGTTAGAGATCTTGAAAGCTTATTATTATTATTTTTTATGGCATAAGCCGGTAAACGAGCAGACGGATCACCTGATGGTAAGCAATTGGCGTCGCCCATAGACACCTGGAACATTAGAGGCATTACAAGTGCGTTACCGGCCTTTTGGGGATTAGGCGTTTGAGGATCGTTGGGGATTCAGGAATTGGGGACATTGGGGAAGGGGAGGGTAATTAGGCCTCCGGTAACCTCACTCACACGACGAAACACAACGCAAGCGTTGCTTCACGTCGGTTCTCTGCTCGGCCGTGGTATCACTCCGGTCGAGCCGGCCCATTCGTGCCGAAGCATGCATGCATGAAGCATTTTCACCACTCTTCGCTTCCGCTCACCTCTTCGCAGATTAAAAGGTGGAACGTTAAGTTATGTAGAATAATCGTATCGAGTTTGATTTCTGATTGGCGTTTTATTAACAGTTTCATGCTATGGTGAATGAAGACCTTTGTAGATCAAATTAAACTGTCAAACACCGCGAGGACACCGGTGATCGCAACTTATTGTTCTTTAATTGTGTCTATAATGACGGTACTCAACGAGTTAAACTGTCAAACACCGCGAGGACACCGGTGACCGCAACCAATTGTTCTTTAATTGTGTCTATAATGACGGTACTTAACGAGTTAATACATTTTTGTTCCAGTCAAAGCCGGACAGCAAAAATTCTGACTACGGGAAAGATGACAAGAAACCGTCCATGCCAATCTATCCAAATGAAAAAGAAGAAAATGTGGGAGAAACTAACTCAGAAGTAAGATATTTTACGTTTCATTATATAGATACTATAAATAGGTTACAAAAAGTATTTGTGGTTCAAGGTCCGCTTCTCTTGCATAAGAGTGACAGACTTTTTTTTTAAATAGTAACGAATGGAGTTTCTTGCTCGTTCTTCTTCACTCGAATCGACATTTTGGAACGAGCGCCTAGCGTCACTGACGGATAGACTGACAGACTATTATTTATTTCATATTTGTTAACGTTTCATAACAT